TTGGATTATAAATATGATAAAATGATATCAGACATGAAAGAAACTTCTTGGACTGCTGAGTGCGCAGGTGGTTCTCGGCAATGGACATATCAAACTTGTAATGAGTTTGGTTTTTATCAAACATCAACAAATAAAAGTGATACATTCGGCGACCGTTTTGGAGCAGATTTTTTCATACATCAATGCATGGATATATACTCAGATAGGTTATTATTATATTATTTAGTTATTCATTATTACTTATTTGTTTATATAAAGAATATTATTATTTAATTACTTTATTTTTTGGGTATTTTCATCATTCAGAATGGATGCAGAATATCTCGATCAAGTTGTAGCTAATACAAATACCTTCTATGGTGCTTTGAAGCCTGAAACTACTAATGTATTGTACGTACATGGTTCAATTGATCCTTGGCATGCACTTGGTTTAATCAATAGTAAAAATCCAAAAACACCAACAATTTATATAGAAGGTATTATTCTATATTGTAATATGTTTTATTTTATATGAGACTAAATTTAATATTTATTAATTTAGGAACTGCACACTGCGCAAATATGTATGAACCGATCCATACTGATCCACCACAATTGGTTGAAGCTCGTAATAAAATAATCAAATTTTTGGCAAAATTATTACAAAGTTACATTTCTCTCTAATATTTAAGCAACTAACAGATATGTACGATTGAACAAAGAATTAATTAGTTTTTACCAAATAACTTGTCTTTTTATACATTTTTTTGCGCTTATTTTATTTTTATTTGTGTTTTGTTTACAAATAAATTTAAATTTTAAAAATGAATTTTATGTATTTCTTTGTTAGCTGTATTTTCCGTTAAACCCATTAATCCTTTTTGGACTTTTCCATTTTCTCAAGAAACTTCTTGTAATTATCTTGAACGGATTTATTCTTAATAATGTGCTCATCGACGTTATGCTTAAGAATACGGTAAGCCCAATGTGATGTATCCCAAATAAATGCCACAATGCGGAAAAAATACTTTTCAACCTGCTTTTTGTCTGGCAATTGTGAAAGCAGTTGCGTTGCTGGACTTTTATCATCCAAAGATTGTGCCTTTACAGTCGCAGCGGATTGTGATGACGATGAGGACGGTGGTGGTGATGCTTTAGTCGATGCCTTAGCTCCTGCTTGTTGTGGGGGACCATCAGCAGAACAAAACAAACGCACAGAAGCAGTTCTATATGATGTCATCGGTGCACTTTTGATGAAATCATTTGGATTATTGTCTATAAAGAGCAAAAAGTTATTTTATAAGTCTTTCATAGATTTTAGAAATATGAATAAATTACCTCGATCGACATTAATACCGGGTGATATCATTTGCAACAACTGCATCGCTGAACCTGTTCCATTTTTTGAAGTTACAGGTAGCAAACGCAAAGTCTTGGATGCCAACATTTTCTAACAATAAACAAAAAGTTTGTTATATTTACTGTTTATTTTTAATAAAAATTTAATTTTATTCCACTGTCAAGAAAAATTTTAAATTATTTTGTTTTTGGCCTATTAATGAGTGCTTAGTTTTAATACTTTTTAGCCGCTGAATTTTTCATGTAGCTTTATAAAAAAAGCCAGCGCGAAGCTTTTAATTGTTGCTCTTCGTAGCGAGAAAGCTTTTAATTGTTGCTTTTCGTAGCGCGAAGCTTTTTATTGTTGCTTATAAATAAAATATTTAAAAAGGTATCGAATATGTCTGTAAAATTATACAAACTAATATATTTTATTACATTCAGACGAAATATAGAAATTTTTGATTTTCTCTTCCATTTTACTTACTTGATTTTTGATTTTAGAATAATTCTATGTTAATACTTCAATTTAACTAAAATTTAAACAACAAAAAAACTAAAGTTAATGCAGCGCAAGAAATGTTTGAAATAAAGTTTACGCCAAAATGGCCGACACAATTTCCGACACTTCAAAATTATTCTTTGACTGACAGTACGAAGCAAAGTCGATTTCCGTTTAAGGGTAAGCGTTCAATGTTAAAAGGAATGAAAATGATTGCCATAAGCAATAATGTAAAAAGCAATGATGAATTCAAATTCAAAACTTTGAAAGCGACTGTATAATAAGAAATAAGAATAAAACAATTAATTCTTAAATGCACAATTCCTTAAAATAAATTTTTAAAGTATTATTTTGACATAAAATTTATTGACACATATGTGTATATATATAACAACTTAGTTTAAATTTAATTATTTTTCATAAATTTCAAATTCTAGGAAATTTTTTTGCCACATATGTAATACTCACTGCATATAAAGTACTTAATACAGGTAGGGGCTATTTAATTGCCGACCTTTAATGTATGTATAGTATTATTATAATGTAATAAAGGCAAATTCAGGAACGCACACAAATCGATATGATATTTGTGCGATTAAAAATTATACCGCATTAGTATCGTAGAAGATATAATCAAATGCAAAGTGCTATAAAAACAGTCTTTTTGTTGTTGTGGTTTCTTGAGTTAGTGCTATTGCATACTTTTATTCTTTTGTGGCTGGGGGGCTTATCTCTGTCCCACATTAGGCTTAAACTATACTAGAATTATTATAATTTATTTATCTTCTAACTGATGACGAACCGTAGATCAGCATATCTTTCTGTGGGTCCTGAGGTGGACTTAAAGGTTTGTTAGGACGTGGTTGGGCAGTGTATCAAGTTTTGTGAATAATTTTAGGGCTCTGTGCCTGATATATTTTTTCACTGAGTCGATCCTTAGATCTCTGTGTATGTCTGTTGTGTTAATATACTTTGGAATCTCAAATAATCTTATAGCCAGGCTATCTGTAATTGCTTTTTAGCAGTATTTTAGGTTTTGCTGTATGTAACATATTCTTACAGTAGTGCTGGCCTAATTATTTGAGTATATAGTAACTTTCTATTTTTGAGGTTGAAGTTATTATTAAACAGCCTAATTACTCGCGCCCAATTGCTAAAAAACTTGATAGAACATTGCTCTACAATAACGTTACACGTATACAACAATGCGACGTCCAATATTTTGAAAATTATTGAATGTGCGTTAAAATTTTATATATTTATCCTTTTCTAATTCTATTATGCATTTCAATTTCATCTTAACACTTGAGTGAACAAAATTAAAAAAAACATAATGTTAAAGTATGTCTTTCTCACTCAAACTCCCAGCATAACGACAGACTATAAGACAGACTATAATTATAAACCACAGAATACCACCACTGTTGGAGTACGATTTATTCTGAGTACGAGATTTGTTTATCGAAAAAATATTATTTCTATATCTACAATTGTAAAACTATATACTCTATTTTTATTGTATCTTAACGTTATATTGCTATCAGTAGGTATACTGATAAGACGAGACAATATGCTGAAAATTCTTATAATATTGTCAACTATCTATTTTTGCTTAAGATCATCCTTACATCCTTGAAAAAAGTATCTTCTTTGACAGAAGGTGTTGCTTTTCGGTGACTATATTACTCAGTAAAATGGTACAGCAGGTCTACAAATGCGTCTTTTGAAGTGTGAATAGCTTATGCTTCTTCTATTTTTAAGTAATATTTTCCAAATGCGACTAAGTGGAACACCCACAATCTCAGTAAGGTCTCACTTTTATACGACGTTTCACCGATCCAATACCATGATGTTGGATGTGTTGATGATGTTTTCATCTTTCAAAAGTTCTTGTTCATACAGAAAAGTCATTTTCAACTAAGCTTGTATAGCCATATACGAAGTCAGAGAACCACTTTCTTACTGCTGCATATAATGGTGCAGAGTTCACGTAAACTTAACAGTAACGCGTTATTTTTTTAATTAAATAATTCAATTACATCCATTAATCGCCAATCATAATTTTATATATAATTGTCTTATTACATCAAGTATATATGTTACAAGAATACTGTGCATTTTTCACAGTATTATCGTAGCTCCTCATTATACGGCATCAGAACACAGAGTGGCCGAATTTATATTCTAGTTCAATATCCGCTTACTATTCTTATCGAAGTTCCACAATAATACACTTTCTACTATTGCTGCAATTCTATTATTATATATGTAGTTAACTTTTAATATATTTTATTTAGTGTACTCCAAAAGAAGTACGACAATAAATATTTTCCCCCTTTTTGAACAATACTGTTCTAGATTATTTGCAAGATACTCTAGTGAGTCATGTGTTACATAAATACTTGATAAAAAAAAACATTAAATTTCATAGTGTCTAAATTTCTTTTATTTTTACTATTTTTCAGTTAAAACTATTATTATATTTAAGTTTCTTCTATATTAAATTTATATATAATATAATATATTAATTGTAAAAATTATGGTTTTATCATAATTAGCATATATACCAAATAGAAGAGCATACACACATTTATTCATTAGAATATTACAAAATTTGTGAATAAGTTCTTCATATTTATTTTAATATACATATATTAATTTAAATACTTTTCTTTTACAAAAAATAAAAAAGAAATGAAAGTGTTGAAAAATAAAATTAATTTAAAATAAATAAATAAAGCAAATTTTGTTTGCATATTTAATATGCATAAAATTCGGTTTATTTATATTTAAATTTATGCACAAGACTTACGTCGTACGATAAATGAGCTGCTTTTGTTTTAATAATTTTTGCAAAGTTAATTTGTGTACAAATTGTATATTTAACAAATGCCAAACTAAACAAACTAAAATAACAGTTACTATCCAACATAATCATTTGTGAATAAGTTTAAAATAATAATAACATTATTTCGCAATTCCA